ATTATAACTTTGCAAAAAAAAGATTTTGTCAAAAAAAAAATTGGGAAAAAGATAAATGTCAATAAACTCATTAGTGTTTTTTCTAGTGATGTTTTGTTATTTTTAGTCAGATATAAACCTTGACTTCTTTTGGAACTCAAACTGGAACTGGGTGGTCAAGCAAACTCCCAAACCTTACAAAATAGAATCAAGGTTTGCCTATTCTTAGGGCCCACCTAAATTTATTTTAAAGCGAGTGAAGCAATTTGATTTTGTCATTTTGGTTAATAATAAAAGGAATATGAGCCTTTTAATTTGACTTATAAGCACTTTTCTCTGTAATAATAACACAAGAATAAGGGTATTATAGTAGAAAATGGTAATGAATGATATATTGATTCTTCCAAATGCCGAGCATTTTCCCCCTCTTTTTTCCCCCTACAAGTTCATTTTGATTTTATAGAGGGAATTTTTTTAAAAAAATAGATCGATTTTGCTAAATATATAACAAAATCAACCATTTTGCTAAATATTTAGCAAAATCGACCTCTTTTTGGCCTGTTGGTCAAAAAGATGTCGATTTTAAAAAACACCTCCCAGAAAACATACGGGATTAGTAGTCTTGTATGTTTTCAGTGTGCTAATCACGGAGTAGTGCTCTCAAAAAACATACGGGACTACTAGTCCCGTATGTTTTCTGAGAGATTAGTGCTATTGAAAACATATAGGACTACTAGTCCCGTATATTTTCAGCTGGGCGTTTTTTAAAATCGACCTCTTTTTGGCATGTCAGTCAAAAAGATGTCGATTTTGCTAAATATTTAGCAAAATCGGTTTATTTTGAAAAAAAAATCCTTTATAGTGCTAAGGCATTTCTAGAATTTATGAAAATCTGAAGCAAACTAAAAGGGTGTTTTTTTTTTTCTTAAATAACAGAAAAGATAAACGAAACCATACTATCTTGCACAAATATTCAAGCATGATAAGAAAAATACTGTCAATTCTTTCGAATTCCCCTTTTATTAAAAACCTATGATATTTTTCTAAAGGGCTTTAAATACATCCTCCGGGACCACCAAAATAAAAACCATTTGCTAGATTTCCAAAAGTAGAAATACTGTAGCAGTGGCTAATATCTGCATATTCTCCGATTACGTCATCCCCTGGTTTGTACGAACGTCCGGATTTATCTACGAACTGTATATCCTTCGCGTACGCTGCTTTTTTTGCTTTTTCCGAAGAAAATTGACCGCTTCCCATCGGTGGGCTTGGTTCCCCCGTGTTAAAGAGGACCGCTCCTCCGACGTCGACGGTCGTAGCCTTGTCGGCTAATTTTGTGAAGAGGGATTTGGGCCAAGACCCAACTGGCTTATCCCCGTTAGGCCCATAATATAATGACCAGTCGCCGGTATCGTTGTTCTATCATGTAAAAAAGGTAAGCGTCATTACTTACGAAATAAATTAAAAAAAATGCGAAGCAATTTTTAAGATAAATAAAAGAAGAAAATTTCTAAATAAACACATTCATATTTTTTTTCTAAAATAGACCCCCTTAAGTTTTGTTTACAAAAATAGACATATTTTATCTTAATCCGGTTCCTAAATAGTCGGGGTTTGTGCTAACTCAGACTATTTAGGAGGTTGTAAACCCCCAATTATAAACCTAAATCCTAACATTCTATGCAATAAATAGTCAGGGTTGGCAACCCCGACTATTTAGAAAAAAAATTATGAATGGGTTTGTTTAGAAAATTTCTTCATAAATAAAAGGAAGGAAAGTATATGTAGTAAGATACCTGTTTTATCTTAAGAATTATTTCAAATTGGCCCCCGTTGTACGTGGACAGCGGTTCAATTTTATGACCAGGAATATAAAGAGATGTATTATCTCGTTTAAATCCTTCACACTCCAAGTTGTAGCATGCTTTATTGGGCGTGGCACCTGACTGCAATATTATTTCTTTTGAAAAAAGTTAGAGAAATTTTATCTTTTAAAAAATGCCACCTTCATATTAATAATGCTATCATCATGTACTTACCACCCAAAGAGTGTAGAAATGAGTATCGTGGTCACCGTAAAATTCCGGGAACACCTAAATTGAAACAAAGCCAAGGTGTTATATGAACTAAACTCAAGTATTTTAAAATTTTAATAGAGCGAAAAGTGTAGTATTATTCAGCCCAAAAAAATTGGGAAATTTATTTCCAAGAGAAGTAATTAGCATACAAATAAATGGGGTGAACTTTACAAAACACCGAAGAAGTTCGGCTCTAGGGTTTTTTGTGAGATTAAAACAAATTCAGTAAATAATGAATATATTTTTCTTTTTGCAACTACACAAGAAATTAAACGCCAAATGAAAAAAGAAGGGAAAAAAAAAAAGATTTCTACTTACATGCCATCCGGCTGATATCACATCTTCATCATTACGAAGAGTAATTTGTGAAAAGCTCTCTTGACGATCTGAAACCGATGGTAATCCCCATACATTTAATGTTGCTTTTGCACCATAATATGAACCTTCTTCATCTCTAGTAGTAATTATTGCCCACTGCACATAAAAGTAAATAAATAATCGTTGGATAATTAAGTGGCGGTTTTTCTATAGAGTACCCATGGGCACTCTAGCTATAAGAGAGGAGAGAGATAGAGAAAAATGAATGAAGAGTGGAGCCCCTAATTTGCATTGGGATCCTCTCCTCATTCATTTCTTTCTATCTCTCTCCTCTCTTATAGAGTGCCCATGGGGAGACTATTTTTTTATCGGCTTTTTTTTAGTGCCCATGGACACTCTATAAGAGAGGAGAGAGATAGAGAGAAGTGAATGAAAAGAGGCTCCCAATGCAAATCAGGGGACCCCCCTCCTCATTAATTCATTTATCTCTATCTCTCTCCTTTCTTATAGAGTGCTCATGGACACTCTATAGAAAAACCGTTTTTTTATTAGAAACTAAATAAATTAACGAAAATAAATATGCATGTAATATTTATTTGGAATATGCAAAACGAATTAAGCATGGTGGCTTTGTAATTATCGGTGAAGTTTGAAAAAGAAAACTAAAATAAATGTCGCGCGCTGAAATCGGAGCAACTCTTTTGGTACATATGTAATAGAGAGGTAGACATCTACGAAAGGGAACTTCCACCACCTGTATAGTTTTTTTTTTGGCAGAAAGAATTTTTTTTCAAATTGTAGAAAGAATGAAAAATTTGTTGAAAAGAATTTTTTAGATATAGAAATTTGAACTATACATTCTAGGAGAAAGAACGCTTATTAATTATTGATCTTTAAATCGAAGGGGGAATTAAATAACCGCAGTGATGATAAAAATTTTGCGAAATGACAAAAACTTGCAACCAAGGTTTTAGCAGACAGCATAAACATATATACAAGTAAGCTGCACAGATTTTATGTCTTCTCTATATTGTTAAAATAGCAAGGTATACATTTATCACAACATGCTTGAAGAATAGTAATCAAACTTCAAGTAGAATTTTTTCTACGTTTATATTTCTCTTTGAGAACATGTATATATGGATCTTTCATTGATATCATACATAGGAACAAAAAATATTATGTAGATGGTGAGTGTATGTGAAAGTTTTATACTTAGAAATGTAATATTACAATAAGTCAGCACAGTGGATAGTCCCATGAACAGCCTTGCCTAGTAATTAATATCCATCACGGTACACATTGAATCATCAAAAGAAGAGAAAATAAACAATTGCAAGACTTGTATATATAAAACTGAACTTACATGCATCGATACATCTTTCGTCACTCCCAAATTTGAATAGCTGGAAAAGTTGCTATTTGCAAGCGCCGAACTTTTATTTGCATAAGCAATGGATATATTCTGTTTAGTAGAAAATTAATATATTAGCTACATTAATAAATAGACTAATCATGTAATTAGATTGATAGGTGGTGAACGGATCCCTTCTCCAATCACAATCATTTATCACATATTAGATTTATTATATTCTTTGAAATGAAAAAGAAAAAATTGTGCCAAAATTTTGCTTGGTAATATATAAAACCTAGTTAATTCAAATATGGTTCCTATTAGAAGTAATCACCTAAACCAGGGTATTAATTTTATTCTGGTGAAAATGATAAACACATTTTTTTAATCACACTTCAAAGATATACTTGAAAACTATATTTTAAAAAAACATTATTTACAACGTATTTTATTAATATAAAATTTCATACCTGATACTCTTTTATCCCACGTATGGCTCTTGCATGGCATGGACAACTCAAGCAAAGGAGCAAACTCAATAAAGTAGTAGCCAAGAATTCTCTCTGAGCCATTTGGAGACAAATACCTCCAACTGAAAATTTAATGTCTATTTAAAAAAAAGTATGTATCAATGTATNTAGATGACCTAACACAATTACGGTATTTCTAATATTTTCATATATAATTAGTGTAGTATATAATATACCTTCTCACAAAGTAAGTGATTTGTCTAATATAGCGGGATATATATTAAATATAGTATGATATAATTCATATTATTCTGTATCTCTTATGCTTGGTAGCGCCTATACCTATATTTGGTAATGAGGTAATCTCTATATCAAACTTTTTTACACTTACTATGTTAAATCTCCTACGTATATCAATCTATGTGCTCATCTCTAATTGTGTATATATCAATAAAACATCATCAAAGAAAAATTCCTGATGAATGAATTTTAGCATGTCAAAAATTTATTGTTTTGGAAAGATATTAATGATAATAAATTGGCAATTGACGGGGAGCGCACGAGAGCGAATCTCTTAAAGATGGTAATTGACGGGGAGCGAATCTCTGTGCTGATGGGAATGTGACATCACCGTTTTTATGAAATCCATCATTTGATTTTCGATATGGAGCAAATAAAAATGTCATTAGATATTAGTTATGCTCATAGGTTTATATTATACGCTAAGGAACGTGGTACTTATTAGGTTCGATTCTTAAATGTAAATCAGATGTTTTACAATAGTCAAAATTAAAAATTTTGTCGGTTGATATCAGTAATGGTAAAAGAACATTGAGAATTATGTTGCACATGCATACTTTATTTGCTCTTAAATTTGATATAGTTGATATCAGTAGTAATGGTAAAAGAACCTTGAGAATTATGTTGCAATTAAACTTCATACTTTATTTGCTTAATTTTTCACATTATTTTTTAACTATTCTATTTAAAAAGAGCTATCATTTGTTAAAATTTTAACTAAATCGGATCGCTAAAGTCGATGAATCGGACAGCGTTCTACCGTGAATTCTAGATGATTAAACTCGGATCGTGATTCGGTATAACATCCCACGTTCCCGACTTCTATGGTTATGTTCATACACAGATTCAAAGTTTAAGGATTTAACTATTAAGATATCTGAACCAAATATATATATATATGAGAGAAATGGAGAAACTTGGTACCAAGTTGCTCCAAGCAACTTGGTAGTGATGTGGCTTAATTTTGTTCCTACATCTACATTGGAGTTGGTGAAGGATGGTTGAGGCTCTATCTTCGAGGTGTGATGTAGGGGCAAGATAAGGCCACATCACTACCAAGTTGCTTTTTATATATATATATATATATATATATATATATATATATATATTAGTTAAAAAAATCGAGGCAAAACTACTGCATAAATACTTGGAGTGCACAGAAAAGCACGTTACTGAACAAGCACTACAGCAATATCAAGCAACACTGAAGCAAAGGGAATTTCATTATTTTAAGACCAAGAGCTGCTGTAGATTGAGATTAACAGAAAAAGAGAAGGATACGGTATCAATCCGTTGAAAAATGATAATTGTCCACTGACATAAAATTTGTGTTTGTTAGAGAAGCCCGAGTGCAGCCTGTTCCAAGCCCTTCAGCAACTTTGTGGGAGAAAGGCAAAATGGTTGGTTTATATGTGCTCATTCTACTTCCAGGATAATCTTCATACACTCGTATACAAAATAGCTGATTGCAGCAGAGGGTAAAACCTGAAAAAGAAAAGAAAAGAAATTAATAATAGCTCAAATTATTGTAAGACTGTAGCTTATCTAAGAACTAAGCTCTGGATAAAAATCAGAAGGGTTATCGATGGGAAAGAATCAATGTTTTTGTCATTTAGTGATGAAAAACTAATTCAGGGGAGATCCCAATCTGAAGCGATGCTGATGGTATTGAAATTTCAGTAGTCCAAAGGATGATTAGCCTATAAATCTAGACAATGCTCCCTTCTCGCTCCTTAGATGGCCATGCTCTTTTGGGCATGATCTTGGGATTATGATACATTGTTAAACCATAACACATCAGAGAAACATTCCCCATGCAGCCTCTCTTCTATGCTATGGTGCATTATAGGGTTCAGTTGCGGGTAGACCCCTTGTAGCTCTACTGTTGCAGATAGACCCCCCCCCCCCCCAAAAAAAATTATAATTTTCAACTCTCTTTACCCTCAGATAAAGAGAATCTTCTTTCCGACTAATAGACCTCAGAGGGTTTAAGAGTTATAAGGCACTCATTAGTTCAAGAAACAAACTAAATAACATTTACATCATTACCTGCAATAGGCTGGGAATCAAACCGGCATAAAGTGCAGGGACACCACCTTGTTCGACTATCTTCATACAAGTTGCAAACGCACTCATTTTTGTTGCTTGAACTTGCATCTGCAACTGCCTCCTAATTACTTCAAATGGATATGTGGCAGCCTCCGCACAAGCACCAGCGATTGCTCCATACAACAAGGTCCTCATGGGACCCAACTCCAGCTGATCAAAGGCATTCAACTCGTGATCCTGCTGGTTCATTTCAGAAATCCTCTTCCTTCCCGCTGGTGAATGTAGATAAGCCGCCTTTAATATATCATAAACTCCGTAAAATACAGCACCTGAGGGCGCCATGCTAATGATGGAGGGCAGTAATCCCTTGTAAAGAGAAAAAAATCCTTCTGTCTGCACCATGTGATGGAAAGCACCAATTACACCACCTAAGGCTTCACCTCCTGGCGCTACCATCTTCGTCCTTATCTGAAAATATTGAGTTTATGTATGGAAAGGAAATTATTAGGAAAGAGAACAGTTTAACGAGCAAAATAGCAGCAGAAACTTATCGATATACATGCATCGTCGGCATTTATGCGTGGTTCTTGTTCACTTAAATGAAAAAATTAACAAACAAAACTCGACCAGTTTTTGGGATTGGCGTTATTGAAAAATATTGGTGATTTGTGATTGCCCTTTAGTTCTTTTGGTAGAAAGACCTCCCTATTCTGAATGTTTAAGCTCATGCAGCCAAGGAGAAAGCTTTCAAATTCGTCAAGAAAAGCAATGAGCTTACAGAGACATAGGTCAAGATTTGCATAGGGACTTCCATTCATCTTTTGATGCAGAGGGACTTCCATTCATCTTTGATGCACAAAGAAACTAGAGGCATGGATAGGTTTAACTTCAGAACGTCCTAGTAAATGCTTACCCAAAAAAATTCATAGACATTTTCAAGGTCAGAACAGACAGATCTGCCTTACAACAATACCTGTGAAATTGCTCTGTTAATTTTATCTCATGATAAACCTATTTGCTTAGGACACTTGAAAGACAAAAAGATAATTTAATCTAGCAGGATAAAAGTTACTCTATCATTTAGCAGGATAATCTATGAAAATCATATTAGATTAAACAGGATCATGAAAATAATCACACAAAGGGAACCAGATGGTACATACCGTGTCCATAGGTATACAGAGTATAGTAGCAGTAATGCCAGCAGCAGCACCTGCAACAAACCGTTCGAAGTTTGTTGTTTCATCATTACCAGACAATTTAAGGAGCTGCTTTCGATATGTATCATAAGCATAAAAGTTTATTGCTTTAAAGGGAGCAGTGCGAAGAATGTTGACAAAATTCCCCTTCCAAAAGCCTCTTACGCCTTGTGTTGTAGCAATTTTCTTGATGAGCTCAAAGAGATTCAGTTGTTCACCACGCACTATGTATTCCAACTTTAATCTCTCAAGAGGAGCAACAAAAGTTCTAATATGAATAACAGTATTTCAGGAGAAGTACAATATGAAGCAAAATAAATTAATTCTTAGCACTTTTAATGAAAAATTGAAGGAAAATATATTAAAATCATAATTAAAGTAGCCATTGAAAGGTAAGTGTACACGATAACATTGTCTGCCAACTGAGATATAGAACAAAAAATACTATATATAGCAAGCACTACAAGGAATAATTAGCAAACACAGAGCAAAGAAAAACTAAAGGGGGCAATTACCCAGCATCAAAAGCATGGGACTGCAAGCAACTATAGTTAAACCTTTTAATTATCCAGCTAACAACAACAAGCTACTCAGTACAGTAAAGTGATTGATTGGTTACCTAACTATTGGCCAAATGAGGATTTGATATAAAAGGGAATTTTATATGCATCTCCTTTTTTAGTACAATTGGCATTAGGAATAATGGTTACAGTCCTACATATATGTTAAAAGATCAAAACAATGTTTACTCACTCACGCAAAAAATCATTATAATAAATAAATAAATAAGCAGGAGATATAATAAAATCAACAAGTTTGCACCAGGCATAAAAGAATTTTTCGCAAGCAATTCCCAAGACTAAGTGCAGAAAAGCATTCATCTACTCTGGTTTCCCAAGACTAAATGCAGAAAAGCATTCATCTACTCTGGTTCCAAAATTTAAACAAACAGGACACAAGGTATATGTCATCTTTTACATCGTTGTACGCTTAGATAACAAGAGAAGAAACGAAGGAGGGGTTGATTATGTAGTACTTATTAAGTATAACTTCCTAACTGATATACCATATGCACAAATGACAACATTTAATAATATTTGGAACTTCAGTCATGACATGATAAAGTATGAATATGGGCAATGCGGTTTTCAATTATTAAGTACACAAAAACAGGGATAACAACAAGAAGTGATTAGGTGCAACACAGCAAATAGTTTTCTCATAGAAGTCTCTATGCTATATAGGATTGCACATCTCAGTTGTACTAACTCAACTTGTTCTAATAAAACGTAGTCCTGCTATATATAGATGAGGTCCTCTGAAAAAGAAAACACAAATGAAGATCCATCTCTCACCTTTTTTCCTCCACCCTCCTCACTTCACCTTCTGGCTTCTGCCTTTCTCACTGGATCCAAGGTTCAATTTTGCTAGCCCTAAAATTCTCTTCATCTCTTACCTTACCCACACTCACCATTGTTCGATCTTTGAAACCATATTTAAAAGCCAAAATGTGATTCAAACACTCAATCTGCATCATCTACACAGGTTATTTAATCTCGCCTTCTTGGAAAGAAAATTTCATTTTAAGTTGAAATAGGTAGAACATGCCATGTTAGACCTTGTCAACCTAGATTTTTTTTACTTGGTTTTATTTGCTATCAATTCAAGGTCTTCTTCATAACTGTGATGACCATCATAATCATAAGAATCAGATACAAAATATAAAGCTTCATTATGCCAAGATTCAAGCCTACAACATTGATCAAGTTTTCAAAAGACTGTCCAATACAAGAAGCGCATCTATGAAACTTTGGCAAAATCCTATTCATGAAAAATTGAGTTGTACTGCTGCAAGATAGTGGTGCCGCAGCATGAGAATTTTTTGAGATGGTGATAAAGAAATTTTTCCTTAGGGTAAAGAACAAATGGATAGATGTCCCATAAAGACAATTTAGAAACTTCATCCGCCTTATGAGAAGGTACACTAAACGAACAATTTCAAATCAACCATAACACATAAGTTGGAGTCTTGTGACCAAAAACATCCAATTGAAAAACTGCCAGGCAACCACGGTAGCACTTCATTAGAAAACGTGCTATAAAAAAATTAAGACATAAATATAAAGCTCCAGCAACCCTAAAACATGCACATTCATGACGGAGGGCTTGAAAGGATGATATATCAGCCAAATAATTTGGATCTTTTAGTGCATATCCTTCCCGGATTAATATATGCCAACAATTGATAGTTCATCAATCAGATAACAGAAACAACTGATGCCAAATCATGGCAGCCTACATGTGAACAGTCTACATTACGATATGGAAACATCCAGAGCTAATCTTCTCATAAGCGTAAGAAGTGCAACGGACTTAAATTGCACAGTAAGGATTTAAACTGGGATCCAAACATACAAGCAATTTAACAAAGTCTCCAAGTTCTCATGAAAGTCCGACGGTTGAGTTTAAATTGACCCTTTTGCTACACATTTATGCATGATCTCCTACCCAAGATATTGATCAATCAAAACAATCAAACAAAATCACAACCTTTCAAGAAACCTCGAGGCAAAATTATAAAATCAAAAGGGCAAATAGCTGAAAACTCTTAACAACCTTTTCTCCCTATGATTGATAATTTAAGAAGCATAAATTGCAGATAGCCCTCTCCTTGTGAATTGAGGAGTAACAAGAGCTAATAAATTAGTTGAGGGGTTTCTTGTGGGTCAATATTGAGGGGTGAATCAATTCATGTTATGTATAGATGAGGGAGATTTATCTGCAAATTACTTGCACTGTTCTAATTAGGTTGTGCATGAAGTAAGTATCAAATTGGGTTTAAAAGTTAAAAGAAAAAAAATATCCTAGATTTACAAACGCCAAACCGATCCAATTAAAAACACACCATTTCAATGAATTCAGTACCTGGAGACCATTGCAGCCACAGCTCCAGCCCAAAGATGTTTCGTAGTGTTCATCGCGCCCGCACCGGCCCCCCGAACCCTAGACACCTCCTTCCTCCTCCTCCTCTCCTTCTCATCCTCCTCCACGACAACCTCGAGCTCTTTCGACTCCCCGTTCTTCTCAAGAAAACCCTCCGACTCCGATTCCTTCACCGACAAGCTCACCGTCAAGAACCTCCCACCTCTCTGAACCCCCGATCTCTTCTTATAAGCACAGCTCAGTTTCGGAAAAGACACCGCCGAGCCCGACGAGTTCGAGTTCAACAACGACACCGACGAGATCAGGGAATTTGACACTGTGGGATCAATAAATAGCCCTCCACCGACGAATGGCAGCGAATCGCCGCGAAGGCAGAGCTCTAGTTCCTTCATCGCGGGTGAGTTAGATGCTAGGGTTAGGGTTTGCTGGGGAGTTAGGAGAGGGTAAATCTAGGGTTAGGGTTTGTGGGGGAACGGAATGGGGTCTTGATTCGAGCAAGTTGTCGATGGAGATGGTGGTGGCGAGCATAAAGGATCTTCCTCGCTTCCATCGAACAAAGCAATTTCGCTGCTGCTGATGAATCTACAAGGGCGTAAATGACTAGGGTTTTTTTTTTTTAGCTTCCTTCTTTTTTTTTCCTTTCTTTTTTCAGTGGATTTCGTCGTCGGCCGGCGACGGCTAACGTGCGCCTGACTAGAGAGGCACTAGGTGCGCCGTTTTGCCAACTGGATACGAGAATGTTTCCTCGAGGACCAAAGGCTGAGATTGGCCCAAACGTTAGCCTGCCCGGCCAAGATTGGCCCAAACATTATAATCTCTAAAATCAATAGAAATCACTCTTAACACGTTAATGACACAGATGATAATTACTCAAATAAGTCCTACTCGGATTAAAATTGTGAAGACGATAGAGTAGCTACCACATAAGGACTTGGTTTACCTCAAATCCTTCCAACCCAGAACGATTCTGCTAAAAATGACCCAACTCCTAACAAGTATAATATTTTAACGGCTGCTATATCATGAGAATTATCAAGTCTAAATAGCTATTGAGAGTTGGCCACATGTCACAATTAGTTGGTCGAGTTCTATAATCTGAAAGTCCGACCCAGGTGTGAGCACCGACGATCTCTCTAGCAACCTGAGTCCGAGACAAAAGGCGTCTCTTCGAACTTCCATTATGGAATATCTTGAATGATGAGACGACCTATCAGCTCTGCCAGCGTCATACTTTGCCACTCATCGTCATCGCCCATCGCATCTACTGCATGACTAGAGCCATTATGACTTCTCGAGCCAAAGTCATAATGATTCTTAGGATGACACCAGCACTTTAGTCATTCTGTCACTGTCACATTAAATGTAAAAGTGACTCACTCAACCAACAGCCGACACGTGTAAAGTGCAATATGATCGACCGACTGCACTGACCCGAACAAATTACCAATGTGCCCTCCCATGAATTCTCTATAAAAAATAGATAACCTCACTACACCAAGGTATGTTAAACAAAATCCTAAAACTAGATTTGCATTCTACAAGGTTGCTTAATCTATCACTAACTTGAATGTGAAGGGCACACATGGAAGATCCATGAAGGGCACACGGGGAAGATTCTTTCTGGCCCTCTAACAAATGTTACTTGTGCAAGGACATGCTTCAACCTGATTAATCAGACATCAAGAAAAATTAAAGGACCTTAAACTCCTCCAGGTATTTATCCACTCATACTGTTGGGAATTTAACGCTGAAACCCCTAATGCAACAGAAACACAGTATAGAAAAAGGTACACCAAGATTTAACGAGGTTCGGCAACTGCCTACGTGTGACGCCCCTGGGTTCACACAAGGCTGCAGTCCAAGGTGAAACCAAGAATGTCAAACCTGCTATGCACCACACCGTGCAATAACATGTTTCACCATCACAATTAACATCTATCTAGTAGAATCAACAACTGGTGTAGGTATAACACATGTAAGAGATAATACAAGGAATACTGATGAAATGATAATAGTCACATAAATATCTCATCATCCAACAATACAGAAATACATAGTCAAGATCTGAGTAGATAAACTGAAATACTCAACAAGTCTCAAATACAAACATCTGACGATAAGGATATAAGGCTCACAGCCTTTACAACTTCTAGAATAATACCCTCAAATGTCTAACCTCACTACAGTGGAGACCAAAGAAAATAATACATAGCTAGAAAGTAAAGCTGAACACTAATGTGGTCCGCTATCAACCTGCGGCTCTCCGTGCTCCTGGCTCGTGACCTGAAAGGGGGAGAGGCAACGAGCGTCAAAGCGCTAGCGAGTAACATCACAACCAACCCCAAGGGAACAGGGCTCGTTGCATAAGAAAATACAGATAATATATATAATAGATCTAAAATCCTTGATCTTACGAGGGAGGGTTTTAATATTTAGAAATTCACAACACGAGAATAGGTACGTCGAGCGAAATAATCCAAACAAGGAAACCCTCATGTATATACCTTGTATCTCAAATTGTAAATCTCTAAACACCAAACCCGAGATTCTAGTACAGAAACAATAAATCAAGAAATACAGCTAATCTCAGAACAAATTACAGTGCCATACCATAACTAACATGAATGTCATATTATTACTTGCATAAGTGTCATGTCAACATCATGCCGTGAACTTCTGTGAAGAAGTCATATGCAGGGTTAAGAACTATGTCCAAATCAGGAACTATTTATGTCGTAGTTTTCCAAACTCATAGATTAAGTGGCAAATGTCCAACACGAGGACTGGAATGGACCACCACATTGTATCAAGGTACGTTGAATAAGACTCTAAAGCTAGATTCTGCATTTTGCAAACTTTCCTAATTTGTAACCGACTTAAATATCAAAGGGTACACCGAGGAAATCTCTTCCAGCTCTTTAACGAGTGTTGCTTGTGCATGAATTTATTTCCTCTTGATTAATTGGTCATCAGGGAAGATTAAGGGATCCTAAACTCCTCCAAATATCCACCCACCCATACCAAGGTACGCGATTTACAATTGTCACTCAGTTGCAACTGTAATTTCACACCCAATTTTGCGTGAGCCATAGATTGCAACCAACAATTTGTAATTACAATTGTTGTGCTTCGAGGAACTAAACCAAACGTCGAGAGAGAAGACCAAACAAACCAAAATAACGGTACAAACACAAACACACTAATTTTACGTGGTTCGGCAAGTTGCCTACGTCCACGGGGCAAAAAGGGGATGGAGTTTCACTAATAGAGAAGAAGAATACAAACTGAGATTACAAATCACTCAAACTCACCAATTAATCTCACCAACAAAGCTCTTAATCTCTCAAACAAAACTCTAACCAATAGCTCCAGAAAATACCTCTTTTCTGTGCTCCAAATATCCCCTAAACAATCCCCCTCAAAACCTTAAATTGTGTTTGGTATTTATACCAAACTCAAAACTGAGCCTGACCTGACTGGCGGTCGACTGCGACTAACGACAGAACCCAGAAAACAATTATAGGGTTCGGCGGTCGACCGCGGCAGTCGACCGCACCTAACTTCGGACTCTCGGGTTTGATTACAGGGTTTGGCGGTCGACCGTGACGCTCGACCGCACCAAGCCCTAAATCATACCTAGAGTCTACGCACGTATTCAGTCGACCGGTCTTGCACCGCAGTCGACCGAACAACTCCAAAACCAACTCCTTGTGTCTAACATTCATGTGCTTTACCAAATCCTTCGCTAATTCTACAATTCTCCACCTCGACGAAGTTTTCCCAAAACTGAGCCGATACCAATACCAACCAAACGTCTCACTTGTTGCGTCTAGTACGAAGCGGAACAAAACTATAACAACGGACTCAATCCACAACAAGTCAAGACCCAAATGAGAATGTGATCACTCTCCAAAAATCGGTATTAACTCACCAAACCGGCTGTATCATAAAATAACTACCTACGTATCCTCTTGCCTAAGGAATCAAGCCTTCACGTAGTTCCCCAAATGGTCTCCAAATGCCCTTAATCAACTAGAAGAGTTCTCAATCCTTCTCTAACATCACCAACAAATCTGCAACTAATAGCTCTCTCAATGGCCCCAAAGTCAAACGATCCAAACACCTCCATCTGAGGTGAACCAACAACCATATCAAAATCCGAACTATATCCACCAGCTACTGTAATGACCGTAAAATTTTGATATTAATTAAAATAATTTTTTTGTATTTTAAAATATTTAATTACTATTTTTAAAAGAGTGTTTATATTTTTCTCGATTTTCTACAATTTTCTATGATTTAAAAATCTGATTATATATTTATTTAAATATTTTTTATATTTATAAATTTATTTTGTGCAGTAAAAATTTTTAGAATTAATTTGTTGAGTTATCGGTACTATTACGTAATATTTTAAATAATATATTGTATTATTAATATTATTATAAATTATTTCATATAATACATGGTATTATTAATTACGTGTTTTTGGTATAATTTATTGTATTATTTCTATTATTACATATTATCTGTCGTATTAGTATAACTAGTACGTTTTACTGTGTATATAATTATCACATAATTATTTGATTTTAAATATAAGTAAATTTATTTTTATTATTAATTATTCTAGTTTAATTATACAATATGGGTATATTTTGACTATTTCATATCAACTGTTGTATTAGTATAACATGTACGTTTTTAATTATAGATAATTATTATGTAATTGGTTTAATTTTTAAATATCCTTAATTAATTATTTTAATTATTTTAAACCCTAACCCTAATTACTAATACGTATATATATTGTTTTTCCCCCTCTCCTCTCTACTGTTCATCATCCCCCCGCCGCCTCTCTTTCTCGTTTTCTCCTTCTCGAACCCGCCC